GTGGGTAAAGTTTATGAGGAGAAGCCAAGCAAGCGTTTCAATTATCGTGGAAATAGTTGGGTGGCATTAAAGGATGTGGCTGCAATTTTGTTTTAGAGCATGGTGGATAAACAGCTGTTGTGTTTCAAAGGCACGTGGAGTGAAACTTTAGTCTTTTTTGTTATTTGATAACCTCTAATAAATAAAACAATTCATATAGGGTCAAAAATTTACTTTGGGAAAGTAGATTTATGACCCACTTGCCCAACCGGTCAAGTGAAAAAAACATTAATGCTGAGCCTGCACAGTAAAGTGCCAAACACATAACACCTGAGCAGGTAGGCCTTAATCTCACATACTGTACATCCTCATGCAGGACAGAACCAGGGCAGCCAGACAGTCTGTGTCTGAACATTCCTATCACAGCGCTGTGCCATTAGGTTATATGTAATCAGTGTGTGGGAGTTAGAGGAGCTCCCCCATGCATAGTGGTAACAGAGGAGAAGTAGGAAAAAGGATGTTAACCATCTTTTCTACTGCTAATAGACAGAATTATTTTTGCATAATGTTATCCACTACTACGCATACTACTCAAAGAACACAGCAGTGCAATGTAATAACCCTGTTCCTACATAACATTTTTTCTCTACAGATGGTGGGATGGGCATTGGACATTAATAGCTTTCCATAAATTGTAATACGCAAGTGCTATAGCATTAGAATGTAAACTTGCTGTGTTTTCAGGACATCAAGAATCATAGCTGACTTCATAATATGCTACATCACTGTTGCTCCCTCTGCAGTCAAAGCTACAGCATAGGAGCCCAGCTCTGAAATAGGAATGTGTGGAATTTAAGACCCCAAGTTGGCCTTTTGGTACAAGGGCGTTAATTAGGACAACAACCCTGGAAGTCATTGGGAAACAAACAGGGACCACACAACCTGTGACATTTTATAACTAATGACTCATCTCGGCACTGAAATCCTTCTCACTCTTTCCAGAGAGCAGCAGCAGATGGAGACAAACACATGTTTTTCTTTTAAACAAACCACTCCATCATGAGAACATGAAGCCCAGCTGAACAAAAACATCATCCTGATGACTCACTAAAATACTATCACACTATGTCATCATGACAACTCCAAAACATGCAAATACTAATGTAATGTAACACGTGCCATCATGCTAAATGACTTTGCCCTTTCGGGTCAAAATACAAGGACAAGCTCTCCAGTTGCTCAACAGTCATGCCTTCATGTCAGAAACACATCACTTACAGAGTAGAGCAGATGAGGAAGTCCAGTTTATTTTTTACTGCTTGGCAAAGGGGCCAGGCAGGGATGAGTAGATCAGACTTCCTTAATCTGTTCCTGCCGTGGCCCAGTTGCCTAAGAAGTGATCATGGCCCCGTTCCCTGTCCTGTCTTGGCATTTCAATGGACCAAAGCGAGAACTGGTGATTTAAAACTATCTCAATTCTGCTGTAACTGTTATTTGGACAAAGTCAAAAAAAATAACATGACGCCATGCCCTGTCCTGTCCTGTCTTGGTATTTCAATGGACTAAAGTAATAACTGATCATTTGCTTCAAATGGTGTCTTAATCATATTGTAAATACTATTCCAACAAAGTCAAAATATAATACTAGTTTAACAAGACTAGCTGAAATGTAAAAGCTGGTTTACTCACGAATATATTCAGACTGAACCGCCATCCCAGGTATTTTCCCCACAGATGCAAATACACAACAGTTCAGCCTAGGAACAAAGATCCTCTGGCCCGCTTGAGTGTACACTATGTTGAGGTCGTCAATGATCGAGGTCAGTGGTGTAATGGACACAAGGCCATGTGTGGCAGTGAGAGAAACCGGCTCTCCTTCCCTACAGGTGTGTCCTCTGGGTAAGGGCCAATCAGATAGCTCCAGTGTCAACAGCAGACTGCGTCACAGGGCCAACCCCTTCACGGGACAGCTTCATAACCTAACACTTTGTTTGTTGACTCACCACTTTCTGTCATCATGATACTGTGGTTGAGATAACGTCAGTCTCACTACAGCCAACATGTACGCTAAAATAAACTTCATTAAATCAGATGGTAGCTTTCAAACCTTGTTTAATTTATTTGCTGACACATTCATCCAGCACGGGTGAATGGAATCAAACTGGAACTACATGGAACTACAACTAATCCTTAATTGCAGTATTAGTTAAAAATTGAGTTTTTCTTACCAGGATTTTCCATATCAGGGCACAAAACTCAAAAGAGGTCAGCAGCTCCTGTAACAAAGGAATAAATAAGCTCATTGTGAAACCTATATGACAAAATGTCAACAATATAAAACAATGCAACACATTGCTTCATTATAAGATGTGGGTGCGTCCTATTACAACACTTCTTTGACAGAGTGTACACAAATGTTTAACTTAATGAATTCTTCTCTGTTGTTGTCATCACTCTGAAAACAATCTAGCCGATCTAATTCACAGCTAAAAATGATCACGGAAACAAAATAGCATTTCATCCAAACAAAAAGCTGTGGGGTTGGGGGACTGCGGCCTTCCAGAGCAGCTGATATTGAAGTTTAACTTTACAGGAACTTACATAAGTTATTCTAAGCACACTGAATACTCCAGATGTCCATTATTACTCAGTAAATCAATGAATGACTCTCAGGGCACTTCAACAGATTGGATGTTCTCTGCAGCTAATGGGGGGCAGATTGAAGCTCAACAAAAGCTCTGTTGTGTTAGCGAAGATAAAATAGTGCATTAATTAGCCCACACACCGACTGGAAATCCATTCTGAATCCAGCTGGACTAAAAGGCAAATCTACTAGTGAAATTCTGAATTTCTTTTAAAGAGACATGAAAACAGCTGTCCCGATTACCAATTAATCATAGCACACTGTCATGTCCATTACTTCCAGGTGACTCTGAGCGGATTGTGGGACTATTCATTTGTGTTTTAGGGGGCTTATTTTAACATTGTAATACAACTGTACCACATATAACGTGTTGTTTTACATGTTTTTGTGTGGACGCCAGGAAGACTAGTCACCACTTTGTGGAAGCTAATGGGGATTTAGAGATGGAAAAATAGGAGACAAATAAAGAAACAAATTTAAAAAACAAATCTGTCCTCTGGTAATTCAAACTATTACATTTTTTTATATTTTTCAATAGCTACCTAGAACTTCAATTAAAAACTGTCAGTGCTCAAATTTGCCTAATACACTGTTAAGCAAATGTAGCAGGACTCTTGAGACCTTTATAGTTTTATACGTGATCGTCCCTCAAGCAGGAATACAGCTATCAAGAGGTCTTTGTACAGGTAATTGTCCCTGTTAAAGCTACATGTAGCTCGATCTTGAATCATGTTTTTATACATGGGTATATTTCTGTTGTACTGTACAAGGCATCTGAAATTACAGAAAACATCAAATAACTTCTAAAATACAAAAGAAATTCTAAAGAACTAAAATCAGACCTTTGAAGTCCGGACAAAAGGATTCCCAGTTGTTTCTTTTTCGAGCAAACTAAATCAGAAACTCCATGTAAATAATGCAAATGACCTCAAGATGTCACAATACAGCACACAGCAGCAAAGGTACAGAGGAATCCCTTTTGACAACTACAGAAGCAGCAGAGCAGCCTCTTTCAGCTTCTTTCAATCCAATATGTGAATAAACAGAAAGATTGTTTGTGCTGAACACAGCTGAGAAATGACACCAGCTTTATGTTAACTTCAATTCAACACAGCAGTCCAATGAATAGCTAAACAAGCTTGGTATTGTGTGACAGTTTGAAGCAGAGACAAATGGAGAAACCTGCAGATTTAGTGCTGCCAACATTACATTTGCCCAAAGCTACAGTTATAACAGTAAAAGTGCTTATTTACAGTTAAAATCCAGCCAGGTTTCTCCTGTAATAGTCCTTGCATTGTTCAGCAGTGGTCAGCAAGTCACAACTTAAAGGCATACTTTGCAGGATGTTCCTAAAGAACAATGTATAGACTCATACAAACATAATCCCTCTCAATCTTAACCCATTAGAAGTCAGTGGTGGAGTTTGTACCTGCAGAGAACCTGCAGCCCTCTGCCTGTATTTTGCAGGATGTTTCTGGGCGTCAGACTTTGGGCAGCGCACAAGGTGTGAGTGTCACCTCTATGTGTTAGTGTCTGTTTGAGCGATGGCATAATTAGAATTAAGAATTAAGTTAATTCCAGAAATATGACACCTTCCTGCAGGGTTGTGTGGATGTGTGGCCGTGTATATTTGTGCTTTAAAATGTAACCGCTGTGACACAATCAGAAAGTAATGTTTGATTTCCCTGATTAACTGCTTGTTCTCACTAACGTCACTCCCTCTCCTCCTTCTTTCTCTATGTATCTCGACCAAAGGTGCTCTTCATGCCTGTCATTTAATGTTTCACAACAGTTCATAACCAAGTGATTTCAAACAGGAACAAGTTGAGTTGACAAATCACAGCTTTGAGTGTTCAGTAGCTTAAATACAGAGCAGCTTGGCAGGGGGAATGATCACAGTGTCAAGATCAGGATCACAAGCACAGATAAGCAGCTCCCACTGACCAACAGATAAATAGTGTTGTCTCTCCCAGTGAACTTCACAGTACTCTAACTGTTCAAATGATGCCCTCCCCTAATTGGTCAAAATCAGTAGGTGCAGCTACATCATGACGCTGACAGGGGAGGGTCTCAACAGCAGTATCAGGCTGCACTTTGGAATGTCAAAAGTTCTTTGACAACAAACTGGTGAAAGCCAGCCTGCGAGATTGAATAGGCTGCAGAATGTGTACACTGCAGCGTATAAAGGAGAGTGCAGCCTGGCAGGAAAGTATTTGACCTTCTTATCAGGTGGACTCGGCCAAGTTCTTACGGTGTTTTGATAAAGCACAGGTTCTCCGTGAATTCAGCTTTCAAATGTAATCATGATGAAATAATTACAATAAGCAAATATTAGTTGCTTTATACAGCTACAAGTTGTGTTGTTTCGCCTACTTACTTCTATTGCAGGTCATTGATAGGCGATGAAATAGTCCCCAGAAATGCTGTCCTTGCAGTTCTTCGACTTAGCAGCAGTTATTACGGCACTCCTGTGAAATATACAAACACAAAAGTACATAAAACAGGCAAAAACAAAGTCAACTTCCTTCTGGGTGCGAGGTTTTTTCAAATCTCTAGCCTGAAAACATGCTGAGGTAGCTCAGTTTGTTAGATAAGGTTTTAGTGGGTGCCGTATGTGTGGACTGTAGCACAGATCTTCTTTTTGTCAGCAGACGGTCATCACCACTGACTAAAATACCATCAAGTTGTTAGTTCATCACCTTATATGAAAACTAAAGAAGCAACTCTGTGTTGAACTTTTAAATCAGCTCGTTTTAGCTTTCTAAGAGCGGAAAACCCCTCTCCCTGATCAGCTTTGGTTCAGTCCAACTGGTTTGACAAGTCCTGGGCTGTAATGTACACACAACACATGCTCAACAGCTGCAGGCAGGAATACATGTCCGTACTGTACACCACTTCAAATGGTCCATTTTAAAAGGCTTATGTCCACTACTCCAGCGTATATGTTACTGCCACATATCACCCTCAGGTTGTCCACCAAATGTCCACAGGGAGTCAGCCATTTTGAAAGACTAATTCAAATGCTACACTGTCAGAAACCACATGCAGACCACGTGTAGCAGACCCCTGTCCAAGTTGGTAGTGTATTGTTGTCCTTGTTGTCTAGCTGGCTTTATCGCCCTGGTAGGCTATATTGTTACATAGCCTAGCTATAGCAAAATGTCACGGCAGTGTGCAAAGTTTCCATAACTATGATGCAGTTGATAAACGAGGTGAAATGAGGGATTGATGCGGTCTCCGCTCATGTTTTCTCTCCTGCCCTTAAGACTTGTAATCTAGAGGTTCTGTAAAAGAAATGTTATTGTAATAGAGTTGTTTTTTAAAATGTAGGTAACTTTTATAAAAACAACCTTTAGTCATATTTGCTGAGACTTTCACTATATCCTGACAGCAGTACACGAGACAGATAATCTGTGAATAAATCAGGTTCCTCTGGCTCGTTGTTTTTTTCATGTACTGTCAGAACAAGTTACAAAAGGTTATTTTAATAAAAGTTACCTTCTACAACTTTAATAAGCTATCGCTCATTCTCATATCAAAATCTAAATTCAAATCCAAGGGAACTGATAGATTATGACAGAATTTGTATGATGCTGTCTGTCAATATATATATATAATAATAATAATATCTCTGGCAACATCTGAATTACAGTGCAGATGATTCAGAGGAGTGCCTACAAGATTTACATTATTCAGTACAATGACCATCAATCAAAAAGACTGAAGATATGTTTTAAATAATATAACTGCTCACTGCAGGACATTTTTGTTAAAATGCAGTTGAAATTTAGATAGTGACTTGATTCACGAAACTATAATAATTACAAATATTTACTATAGGAGGTACAGAGCAGACATTACAGTTTCATGAGCCAATAATCCTTCATTTACTAGTTCCACCTGCTGGTGCTAATAAATGGGGTGATCCTGTACATTACTTATTTGTATTTATTTACAACAAATACACACGTGTGGTCAATAGTAACAGGGGACATGTTTTAAAAAAAAAAAAAAAAAAACTGATGGAACTACAGTCACTTTGGTCACAATTACTGTGGTTTGTATGATTTTCTCTGGATACATATGGCATAAATTACAACATATCTGAGCTACTTAACAATGCCCTATTTAGTTTATGGTCTTACCATTTAAGAAAGGCTTAATCCATTTATTATTCATTGATTCCAACCTGCCCACAGAGAGAGAGAGAGAAGTTGATACGCACTTGAACCCACAAATAATTCACTAGATAAAGTTCAGCACCACTGCAACCCAATTCTGCTCTCAAATATCCTCGCGGTGCACAAGGCTCCAGCTCTGAAATGCAACAACTAACTGGTGCAGGCTGGCAGCAAAACAAACAGAGGTGAGTTAATGTGCACCCACTTTGTGAGCATACGAGCGAGTAAAGTAGAGCAGCTGAGCCGGTAGACTCAGTGCCCTCATTGTAATGCTGAAGCCCTCAGGACACCACGTGAACAAACGCACACACACGCCGGTTCACACCCAGGCCTGTCATTATTTCACAGAGCATCCAAAGGTTGAGCAGGAGATAGTCAGGGCTGTGAGTTACCCTATGTCCGGTTTCAAGTCACTGCTTCCATGTTGTCTTTGTGACTCAAGCCCACATCAGCATTAGCAAACTCAGAGTAGAATTTAAAGAATGGTAGGCAGAATAGCAGCCAGATTTTCAGGTTGGGTAACAGGATCTAACAGCAGTATTTCAGCACTTTCACATGAGTGCAAGTGTATGCCTTTTTGTATTTTTTAATGGAGGTGAGCCCTCCTATCTTTTTACACAATTGGGTTGCCATACCTTGAGTAGCGGATGTTTAAATAATCAAGGACAGCTTCTGACTGACATCTCAGTATAAATAAACTCTTCAGCAATGTCAATACAATGCAACATTTAATGTATAACAACAATAAACAGAGACTAATAAATCAGGTTGATATTGAAGAGACTGACAATTAGGTTTTGCATGTCTGCATAATGCTAATGCAATTGCATTGTAAAAGATTTTCAATTACTATTTCATATCAATGTAAACTTTTAGTAATTTTACAGGAAGTGAGACAATCAGGTGTTATCTGGATTTTATGGCTCAGATTTCCTATTCCTATAAATCGGCTAAGCCTACCTGCCTGGCACTAATGTCATTATAACACAGGATATTTATCCTCGGTAATGGGCATGCTGCTCGGCATAAAGTGTCAAATATGTGGCATTGCTGGAATTTAAGCCTGTGTTTTGTAGAAAGATGTTTCAGCATATTGCTGGTGTTCCACCCTTTTACAGCCATTACACTGTTGTCATCTCTCTTCCTGAAACAAAGCCACACTTTGGACTAGTGGTCAACCATTATGGGGTTTTCAATGGCCGATGACAACGTTGATATTTAGAGATCATGGCTGCCATTGGCCAATATATAATGCCAATATGAAAACAGAGAAACATTATATGATTCTATTCTCTTCTACAGGAAATTCTGACATACATTTACAGTAAGATGTATGAGTTAGAGTACCAACCTTTTAACCACCTTCCTAAAACTAACAAGGATACCTGCAGACGTGTCTGAAGACATTTTTCGTTTATCGCCCTATAATTCTAGATATTCAGCCCGATTAATCAGCCAATTTCCACTTTGGACCGTTTCTTCCTCTCCGCCATGACTCTTTGTTGTTTCCAGTAGAGCAGACACAGCAGAAAAACATGCCAGCACCAATAAAAGGAACTGAGGCATACAATTCGAATGAATCAGATAATTTGGAGCCAGTTCGCAATTCCCACACTTCTTGAATTCAGCAATAATCAGATGCTTAATAATAACAAAATAAGATTTTTGGCCAAATTTTCTTCAAACGATGCTTTGAAAATCCCACCAGTAACTAAGCCATTGGTAACCAGGCTGTAATTCACTCTCATAAATCAAAGCACGCTCTGGAAAGCCACAGAAAGATTTGCCAACCACCAATGTCAACCACTATCATGCTAATTGGATAAGCTCACTGCCAAGTTTGCTGCTGCTTGTCCTCAAAATAAAAAAACACACAAATAAATGCACCTGATCTACGACTGCAACAGCTCACCACACCTTCTCAATTGACTGCGTTCATTCACAGGAATCTGAAAAACACTCCAAGACACTTCCCTTTGTAATACATTTTGCAATCCAAGCTGTAAACAGATGTTGTTAATGTAGATTTACTCAGTTCTAATGGAGCCAAAGTGCTGATAAATGATAAAAGATTGTGTTGCCTTAGCAGAGCAGTAATAACGCCTGAGATTGCTGCATGACGAATGATGCACTTTAAACAAATGTCACAGGCATTTCAAACTCCAGCTGACACACTTCATTAATATGAGTCCTTTGAAAACTAGATGTTTAAAATCAGCTGTGCTCGGTTTGCACTGCACTGGTAGTTCATCAGTTTTACACAATCCTGTATGTTCACTGTGAACTCCCAATTAGCTCATTAAGAACTCCCAGTTCATCGGATAAAGACGGACAGAGCTCTGCAGAGCTGAGACGAGTACAATCAACCACTGGGCCAAGTTCATTCCGCAGACTTGGCAAAGGCTAAATGAAGAGCCGAGCTGGAGTTTGTCAGTGAGCGAGCTGCATGGATCTCAATGAGCCACTGTCAAGAGCTAGCTGATGGCACACACATCGGATTATGTAAGTCCCACACAGACCCACAATATTCAAATGTGCAAACAGCTTCAACTGAACACATCTCTGTTCTTATTTCTATTCTACCAACCATCACAGCGTGTTTCACAAATCCAAACACTTTTACAGCTCGTTTCCTATCTCAAATGGGACTGGAAAGCCCAGAGCCGACCTCTGCCAAGGCTGCAACAAAATGCTGTTTGTTAGATTCCCATCCTACAATGTTAAGAAGCCACTCCTGGATATGCACCAAAAACGTGTTCCTTGGCAAAAGCCCCACCTTTCCACCAAATGTTTTTCCAAACTTTAACAAGTTTTTGAGACATACTCCAAACTATTGAGCAAATTGGACCGAAAACATTACGTCTATGGCTGACTAGGCCGAGGTAAAAACGACCTCCACACAACAGTTGGATATCTGCCAAAGAAGGTGTTATTGTGAGCAGGATTACAGTTGCAAGCTACAGTAGGCCTCCATTTCTCACCATTTGAATCCCCCTGCAACATCAATCTTTCAGGCTCAATCCAAAAATGCTACCCACCTTAATGTATTCAGATTGAGATTAAATGTACCAACACCTCTTCTGCTAGATAAGTGAAGTGTAATCCCTGTCAGATGCACCAATCCACAACTATCTGTATACAAAGCACAATAACACGACTGACCTGATTACAATGCTGCCAGTCTAGAACAAATACAATAAGCTGCAGCTTCTTTTGTCTTCTCTCTTCTCTAACAGTCCGTGTTGTCCTATTGGGCGTATTAGTGCTCTCAGTCAGTACTAAAAGCACTGGCTGCCTGTTGGAACAAGCAGACCGGCCTGTGAATGGAATGCAGTGGAATGCTTCACAGAGAGGCGAGTTGCTTCCCTGGAAGACAAACACTTTCCACCTGAAGCCTCCAGTCGTTATAATGGAGTATAACAGATTTAATGCTACAGCTCCCATGTAAAGGTCCGAGGGCTCAACGACGATTCAAATGCCAATATATTATTATTATTATATTATTCTAAGTTAGAAGAATTGCCAAACAATACAAAGTAATAATAATGACGCTGGTTTAAACATCGTGTCAGTGGTGAAGTGTCCTGTAAACAGCAGCCAGCCACCAAACAGCGTTAATAAATCATTGTGGAGGTATTGTCCGTTGTTCAGTACCGCCCTGGCTAACGTTACATGGACACTAGCAAGCTAACGTCAGACAGGTAGCTTACAGGTAGCGGATAACAGGGCTCATTGGGAAACTTTGGACATACTGTAACTGTCTGAAGAAAATAATTGACACTCTTTGTTTTCTTTTCTTTTGTATTTCTAATTTGACCAACCCAAACTAGCTTTGAGAGCTAAAGATAGAACCGTATTACAAACAGCACTGGCATAATGCTAATCCCTGGCTGCTGTTAGCTACAGTAACTCCAGCAACAGGTGGCTACTGTCCCCGTACTGTAGCATTAGCCTTGTTAGCTCAAGTGAATTAGCTCCCACTTGTCGTCCAAGCTCAAAATCTCCTATGTAGTATGACGCACAAAGGCTACTCACCTTTTCTGGCAACCGGTCAACTTGTGTGGAAGTGTATCCAAAAGGCAGGAGACGTGTTTCTCCTGTACCTCGTTGACCCCTGATTACTTTTGACACTTGTCGCTGCTGTCCATCACAGAGAGAGAGCGAGGCGGAACTAGCTCCACTAACTACCTTTTGACCCAAAGCGACTCACAAAAGTAACTTTCTGGAGCCGGCGACAAACATAAAGCATACAAACATACCCTGAGTTATACACCAAATGCCAAGAGTGTCGCTAATGTAGTATTTCAAACTTCTTTGTTAACACTTTGCTGTCAAAAGGTGTTGCACGTTAACTCGGTTAGGAAGATTAAATACTGTTGCGCATGCGCGCTGCGTCGCAGGGGTGGCTGCTCCCCCACCTGGAGAAAAAAGAGGCAAGCTGCAGAAACCACGTGACCCACTGAGCTCTGAATGCCAGCCAATTACATTTGTTGTTTAAGGTTTGGTAAAGATTGTTGTCATGGTAAAAATACGTATAGTTATTATGGTATGTTTGTCCCCGTCTCACCTGACTGTGTCACTATTTGATTACTTCGAAACAAAGGTGTTTTTTAAAGTCGATGCAAATGTGTGTTATTGAATAGAGTTTTGTCAAATGATATCTTTTTAAAGTTAATTTGGCTTATTCCATTGAAAAAGATAAAGTAATTAACTTTTTTTTCCCTCCTATTTTTCACAATAGACTTTGAGCTTAATGAGTATGCCACACTGCATTTCAACATAATGTTTAACCCTTGCACATGAATATTCAATACAAAACATCCATTGTACAAAAGGGTAGTCTGTATTGAACAGCTTTTAAACAGATTGTCACCTTTATTAACATAGGCTATAACTGCTCTAAATTCGACTGGCCAATTTTCAAAAGGTGTAATACAATCTTTTGAAAGATTCTGTAAAGATTGGGTCCAGTTTAATTACAGGGGTTGCTGACATAAATATGGGAAATACTGATATAATACCAGTATAACCCTTCTTCTGTGGAGATTTTGACTGAGAAATACTGAGTAGTGGGATTATGATTCATTAGGGAGAAATAGGTACAATAAGTTCTTTTTAGCATTGTACACTAAAAATATCAGTAAAAAATGAGGTTGAGGTCAGATTTGAAATATGAGGCCAGGCTTAAAGTTTTTGTCTTCTTTGTACATTTGTTATGTTCAGTGTTCCAATTACTGTTATTTGAGTTGCACTCAGCTGAAATTGGTCAAATTCAACTCTGCTCTCATACAGCCTTTTTCTGCAGAAAGTACAGCAATCAAAAGTTTGAATACTGTGATCTCTTCTGGTCATTTGTTGAACTACACGGCAGGAGCACAGTGCATGTTTTTGTAGGTCAGTCTCCCAGATGTGTCTGCCATCTACTGGTAAAAGACTATGTCACTGAGTGCACATGAAGTCACTGGAAACAGCAACAGAGTCCAAGAATCATCTGAACAAAGTCACCCATCTGATCCCAGGAATAATTCCAACCAGAATATGGATCTTTTATGTTTTATAAGATGTACCTGTGCTGCTAAGGTGACATTTATTAAATCAGAAAAAGAAAAGATCCTCCAGATCCTTCTCCAGGAACTCCTCTAATGTTTGCAGTAATCCAAGAATCGATGCCAGAGCTGATAGTCGGGCAGCCCAATAAAATTTATGTGCCCTTTGTTTGCCTGGTTATTAGGAAGTAAACACACCATGCATGCAGCGCTGCCTGCTGTGAGAATAGCTCCTGCAGCCATTCCCAGTCTGGAGTTGTGTTTTTCTGCTGAGCAGCTCTCCGTGAGAGGAACTGCTGGGCATGAAGGAAAAGTTACACAAAAGCAAAGCCCGCCAGTGACCTTTAGATGCACCCAGTCTAGTCTTACTGCCCGAGACAAGGGTTCCCACCCTCTTTAATTATAGCACCCTTGTATGATTTGCTCCCAGAGTGTTTTTGCTGGGTCACTGGTGGAGGTTTATGACACTGGGACAGATCTTTTATTGTTTAAGTGCTGGGATATTAAGATTCAGAGGAAAGAGGAGGTGGACCGTTAACAGTAACACTCTGAATGTTGGACAATGTTGGACAAACTAAAATAGCTTTAATACAAAACTGCACACACAACATGGCAATTGCAAACCATTGTGTACAGGATAACCATGGCTGTGCAGCATCATTAAAGCTGCGGGGAATAAAAAATAACACCCTCTCCTTGAGGTGGTCACATTGTGGACTCACTGCTCTGCAGAGAGGCTTATTAGATTCTACACAGTGGAGCCTTTGGGCCTAAATGAAGGTCTGTTATGTTTTTCTCTAAATTAGTTCTTCCCAGCCCTTTTATCCAATACATCCACAGGCAGATCTAGAGAAATATGCATGGGGTAGCAGAAATATATGCTGATTTAATTGCAATCACATACATCAATATTTATGTGGAAAAGCCTTATATTATTGTGGTACATTGGTAAAGTATAGAAAGTGTTAAATTTGACAATATTTGACACCAATGGCTTTTTTTTTTTTCTAGATCCGCCCCTGAATGTACCCCCACAACCCTGTCTGTGAACTAAAGGACCCCCTTTTGTCGACTTCACCTGTTTTGAACTGATTTTAGACTGGATGTTATACAGCTGAACTGTAAATAGTTTGGTCAGTTTGGACAACTTTGCGTTCCACTTGGAGTGGAAGAAACCGGACATTTCAGGCATTTATCCATTGCTTTTAGCAGTGTGCGAACTATACTGTGGCTTTTGGGGGAGCTCCCTTGTTTTGGTAAAAATGGCGATTTGGTGAAAAAAATATTTTTCTGATCTTTAGATGACAGTGACTGAAGTTTAGGATATTGCGCCGCCACACTTGGATGGTGATGGCAAGATTCCTTATTAAAGTGAATTAGTGATGAATCACTCTCCTGCTCGAATCAAAGCTCAGTTTAGCCTAAATTTATGCATGATGATGAAGATACAGAGAAATATAAACACATGGCAAAAATAGCATTAAGTCCCACCCTTGGATATATAATCCACACATTCATAATCATGCTCAACCAACTATCCAGTGACAATTGTGCACCTGTTCTAGGATTGCCTTGTGGCTTTGTCCATTTTGACTTTGACATTAGTATTGAAACATTTGCCCCTTCGGATTATTAAAGCTCAATCATCATCATTATACGCTCCAGAATCTTTTTTTACCCTTGGAATTTCTTAACAATTAGTGTCTCCTTCTATTTTAGAAATGTTGACAACAATTTAAGAAATCCACCCAAGTGCATTTAAAAATAGACATTTTCCACATCAAAGCATAGCATGAAAATCTGATTCAATTGCCGTACATGGCAATCACTTCACTGTAAATGTTTAAAATTTAAGAATTATGTTCACAGCCCAAATACTTCCTAGTGACTGACCTCACAGTGTAACTGAAGTCAATGTGGTCACAGAAACATGTTGTTCTTGAACATATTGTACATGCACTCCTCTTTCTGGTGTTTTTCCACAAGGCAGATTCAGTTTCATCATGTTTAACATCCCATCATGGGCACATTTCCTCTTTTAAGAATCCTTTGCCAATCGGCATTGTGATCTTGCACGGACCAGCCTCATATTAAACTTAGACAGTGAACAAACAGAGGAAACCTGTGTCTCTGAACCCTGAAAGGGCTGACTATAAATATGCTAGATAGACCAACAATTTCATGGTGAATGGAATTTGCACAATGCATGTGCTGTTTGATTAGCTACACCCACGTCTTCAAATCTAAACTTAGTCAGCAGGATTATATTACAGCTTTTTCCGTGTGTCTTTTTTAGACGCTCACTTCCTGTGACAAATTTGGATGATCCGACCATAGAGGCTTTGGATGAATACGAGGGGAAAGGCGCCGATTCATATCAGCTTAACTCACTCAACTACCTGTCAGACTTGAGAACATTACAGATATCTAATAGATAAGATATCTATAATAGATAATAGATATCTAAAAGGAATATCTATTTTTATCAAATGAGATATAGCATTTCCTTTCTTGGTATTGTGAGTTAACGGGTCATTAAACATTTATGACTTTCAGACTTACTGGACTGTTGCATGTTGTGGAGGAAAAACACTTTCCAGACATAAAAAATTAGATATTAACTGGATTGTAACAACTTTCTCTCATAACTGGCATTCCTGATCTTGGAAGGGCTACATTAACTACTTTAAATAGCTGCAGACTTCTATTAGCTTTACACTGTTCAGGTGGCATCTGCTATTTTGGTCTTCTAAGCTAGCAGCTAACCCATGCTAAATAGCATATTTTACTGCATTCTTTGTCAGCTCTTGCTTTTGTCTTTTTTTGAACCAGAAGACTTTTGTATAACTTAAATACAGTCAACCAAAACTTGGCAAAAGCAACATTTGGGGGGGAGCTAATTTAGCTACCTAGTATACTGTTTGATAGTTTAATCAACAATGCATCATCTCATATAGAGAGAGAAATATAGAATACTCCAGTATAGTAGGAGAGAACAGGGTTGGTTGACACATTCATTAGATCTCATTCCCTAGAGGGCGCTGTTTAAAAATGTTGCTACTGAAATGTTCAGAATTGGGGTCAGAGGTCACCCACAGTTCAGGAGTAAGACAGTTCTTCTATGTCTGGGCTTTTACACAATGGGTTTATAATAAAACAATGACTACTGTTAAAACATATGAAGGGGGAGCAATAGGCTACAACATGTGGTTGTTAGCTTAGTTGCTTGCAAGTTGGGGATGCTTGTCACATTCTCGTTGGGGTAGGTTGTTGCACGCGAGTTACAGTGAGTGACTGACATAAGGATGAGTTGAGTATATTGTTATATAGCCTAAGGATAAAAATCTGAATGATTTTTCCTGTTGATGTTCTCTGGATGCAGGAGATGTGTCGGGTGATTAAGCTTTTAAATTCAGAAACTGCCAAAATGTTTTTACTTACCAGTAATAGGAGTATTTCCACCCTCCCTGCAGAATGGTAACAGATGCTTACATGTAAATGCAACTAATGTATCTCCATGTAACAGAGAAACTTTGCAAAACATCTAAAAATAATACAGTTTTGTGGTGTGATTTACATTCTTGGACATCCTACCAGGATTTCTCTTAAAATAACAACTAACTACTCATAACCCAAATATAAAGGTGGAAAAAGTGAAACAGCAATCACACAAATGTGGGTTATATTTGGTAGCATGGGTGAAACCGCTGTCCTGTGATAGAGCCGCCTACACTTTCCCTGTGTCACCCTGCAGGAAACAGACCGGGAAAACAATAAGATCATCACTGTGGACAGAGGCTGATTATACACTGATCATGGTTTCACTCAA